GAGGGCTAGAGTGAGCAGAGGCGGCGGGCTTGAGAACGGCGCGGCCGGCGGATTCGACGAAGGAGGCTTGCGGCAACCACATGTGATGACTCTGGGCTGGACTCCGCTTCGTCCATGGTGAAAGCCGATCTGGCAATCCACAGCGCAAAGTTGTTGTATTTCCTCAGCAACCTGCACGGATCAGCTCCAGGCATGACGAAGCAGATATCGTCCTCTTTTCGAAGGCCGAACAAAGTAGTTTTGCTTTCACAACGAAACACACAGCGCCTTCATGACATGGCAGCGGCAACAACAATACTACAGCAAGAATAAAAGTTATGCCTTCTTTCTTTGCGTAAACATTTTGGCGGCGTTATGCAAATCTTCCCAGATAGTGATGTAGGTATGTGGGGGCGTGTTAGAATGAGCCGTTTTAGGTAGGTGTGGCTGACTCTTAACTTTTATAAAGAATATCTCTTTGGATTTGAGACTTCAGTCTTTGCAACTTTACAGATCTTCTTTATGCACCAAGAGCTTGTAACACTCCAAAGAGAAAGGAAAAATTTAAATTGCATCATATGACCCCTTTAAAAAGAAAAGAGAAATCTTACTGATCCCATACTTTTGAACAGTCGTATATAGTAATATTGGCTAATATTAATGGTTGATGCAGTTGAACTGTGTGTCTACACTGAACAAAATTATAAACGCAACACTTTTGTTTTTGCCCCCATTTTTCATGAGCTGAACTCAAAGATCTAAGATTTTTCCTATGTACACAAAAGGCCTATTTCTCTCAAATATTGTTCAGAAATCTATCTAAATCTGTGTTAGTGAGCACTTCTCCTTTGCCGAGATAATCCATCCACCTCACAGGTGTGGCATATCAAGATGCTGATTAGACAGCATGATTATTGCACAGGTGTGCCTAAAATGTGCAGTTTTATCACACAGCACAATGCCACAGATGTCGCAAGTTTTGAGGGAGCGTGCAATTGGCATGCTGACTGCAGGAATGTCCACCAGAGCTGTTGCCCGTGAATTGAATGTT